GAAATGTTTAGGCACTGGTGGAGACCCATTCCGATCTGTGGAAGCTTTCGACTGTAGATTAAACCGCTGGATCTCAATATGTGAAATGACACAACAACGGCGACATGTCGGAGTTGTAAGCGCTCTGGGAAAGCTGTAAGCATTGTTTTTAGTCTTCCATTTTTCCACGTTTGCTTTTCGTTTAATCTGTTTTCTTCGAACCTCCAGTTTCCAATAATTTGTTGTTTTGAAATAGTCTGGCTGTGCCTACCGTACCCGTACAGTAGGACGTTTGCACACGCCTTTATTCGCTGCCGATGAGTTTCCAAAAACGCGTGCCAGACTTTTTACTGTAAGAGTACGGTAAGTGTGCCAACACCAAACCAAGTCAATTGAAGACAATTTCACATGCACTGAATCCTTGATCAATGCACAAAATTCTTTATCATTACCATTTTCAGATTTGCCATTGGCGGTCATGATGGTATGCAACATCTTGCGTCAGCCGAAGTATTTGACCCACGCGAGGGTGTTGGTTGGCGACGGGTTGCACCAATGCGCACTTGCCGACGTGGAATAGCCGCAGCTGCTTTGGATGGTGCCATATATGCTGTAGGAGGACTGGATGACACGACATGCTTTAGCGTGAGTTACTGCGGAGAATTGTAGCAGTGCAGTTCATAGATATCGATTTTGCAGACAGTGGAAAGGTACGACATCGAATCTAACACATGGACGGATGTTGCGCCAATGAATGTACGTCGTGGTGGTGTTGGTGTGAGCGCCTTAGGTATAAATTTTTTCTTCTAGACATTAAAAACAGCCTAATTCTCCAAAATTCATTTTTTAGGCAAGTTCCTGTTTGCTGTTGGTGGCAATGATGGCTCGTCTTCTCTCGACTCATGTGAACGCTATGATCCTGTCTTAGATAAATGGAAGCTCGTAGCAAAGATGACAAATCGGAGGTCAGACTAGTATTTTTCAGAAATAATGTAGAAGTTAACAGTACAATTTACAGAGCTGGAGCGGGTGTATGCGTGCTGGATGGTGCACTTTATGCGCTTGGTGGCTTTGATGATAACTCACCTTTATGCACATGCGAGCGATACGATCCACATACGGATCAATGGACACAGCTTGCGAATATGACATTTTCAAGAGGTAAGCGATGTCCCGATTTCGTTTATTTATGATCAAAATGAATCGGTTAAGAGCACTTCAAGCGGTAGAAATCCCCACACAAAAGCTAGTTTTACTTACCGAAATCTTATAGGTGGTGTTGGCGTTGCATCCATGGGAGGCTTGGTCTATGCAATAGGCGGACATGATGGTCAACGCTACCTGAACACCGTGGAAGCTTATGATCCAGTCACCAACTCATGGACACCTGTTACGGACATAAAAGATTGTCGCGCAGGTGCTGGTGTCGCATGGGCTGATTGCAGGTACGTATCGCTCCAGATACAGGTTTCAGAGTTGCCCCGTGCCAGCTCGTGCCAGGGTCGTGCCAGGTTCGAATTGACCAATGTGAACGTGCCCCATATTGATCGATCGAGTTCGGACACGGTGCTGGCACGGAGCTGGCACGTGCGACTTTGGCCAAGTTTCAGACTCCGTTGGGTTATTTGACATTTTTTTT